TGGTGTTTGTAACAACGGGTAATGGCTTTGCTTCTGTTGCGTCCAAAAACACTCAGAAGAGCCTTAGACACAGTGCATTGTAATCATGGGATTTCAACAGTAACAGCAGCCGCTGCAAATGACTGCTAATCTTGGAGAATGGTGCACTGTGAGCGAGGTGCTGGAGCACGTCAGGAGAGGTGCCACCCTGATTTTCTAAAAGGAGAAAGGCAAGAGCCACAAAATTGCAGGTGACAACGATGGTAATCCCAGTCAAAATTCTGGAATTGATTTTTAAACAGATGGTTTAGAAGCTTATTTACAAAGCGGGAGTTAGTATTTTCCTACAGTCAAATCATATCCCATCCACTGCCAAAACCTTTATATATATATATATATATATATTGGGGGTAATTATTATGGATTCACAAAAAAAATCCATTTTCCTTTTTAATAGGGTAACTAAGCTTGTAGATGTTAACACCTGCATCTTGATTTCAGCGAGGCATCGGGAGTCTCTTAACATTTCCTGGATTACCACTGACATGGGTCTTTGGTTTTACTTAATATATATGCATTTTAAGAGGCGCATTCATGTCTGTTTTATCTCCATATTGCCATAGCCCTTTGCACAAGAAAGGTGTTAAGAAATTTTCTTGCTACTGAATAAGATCCTTCTTAGCAAGATGGGAAAATGCCAACTGACTGTACAGTTAGATGCTCCCACACCTGGTAAAACATTGTACTTGGAGGGAGTTGATGAACAGATCAGCGTTACCTGGAAACATGATGTGCTAAGGGGTTCACAGGCTGCGGCCCTGGACTGAATAGCTTTTCAACATCTTGGGGGAAGACGCAAAATCAGGAGGACAAAATTAAAATTCAGAATCACCCTGGCTTGGATCCTGTGTTAAACCAATAAAATGAAATATAGTAGGGTTTCACAGAGGATTCAAGGGACCAGTCGCAGAAAGACAGGATGTAGGGAGACCTAGATTATCTGATCACCAGCTGGATATGTGCCTGAATTGAACCAACTACGTCAGTGGGCCGCTAACAAAGCAAATGGGTGGATAGAAAGAAGGGAGAATCCTGGGTGGAAAAGTCTGGCTCTAGAATGCAGGAGAGCCAAAAAAACAGTAAGGAGATGTTTCATTTCTTATTCTGGGTATATAGATATTCATGACGTTATTCTTTATGACTTTTATGAGCCTGAAATACATTTTTAGAAATTATAGCTTTGGAGGTTTTGACACAATATAAATAAATTGTAGTCGTCTTAAGATGGAGGGAGTTGCCTTATGGAGTGAGGTCTCTATCACTGGACACGACCGGTCAGAGATGTCCTAGAGCAAAGGTCAGCACACTATGGCCTTCAGGCCAAATCTGTCTTCTGCCTTTTTTACAAATAAAGATTCACTGGAGCCCGGACATGCCCACTCATTTATGGCTGCTTTTGCACCATGGGCAAAGTTGTGGTTGAGATTATATGGCGTGCAAAGCCTACAGAAAAAGTTTGCTGACCACTCTTCTAGAGAAATCATTGCACTGAGTGGACTAAAAGAGCTCTTGTTTTCTAAGAGGAAAAGGGGCAGATTGTAGAAACTACAGGCAAATATACAGTCTGTCTGTGCAAGAATTCCAGAATGGTTTAAAATGATGTGACCTTGATTCAAACCAAAAGATTACTTGACAACCGGAGATAGAGCCTATGGTTTTGACTTAAAAAGCACAATGCGTGGCACAGAAACACCCAAGTATTTGCCTCAATTAATGAATGGTCTATGCAAGTGCCCGTGCTTCTGCCCCACCTCAGAGAAGCAGGTTTGCCAACCCCTCCTCCTGGCCACAGCAGATCGAACCACGGGTGGGCCTCAGACTCAGGCAGTCAATTTCTGTTTGCTCAGCAACACACAGGACCAGCTGGACATGAAAGGAGGAGCAGGACTTTCAGCGTCCCTCTCTCAGGAATGGGAACTGGAGATGGCTTATCTACCGGACCAGCACCCAGTGGAGACTGCCAGCCATGCACTTAACATACAAAACAAGAGGCGAGAATATTCAGTTTCTGCAGTGGGAGGATGCAGCCTCCCCTCCATTTTAAAGGACTTGAACCTTCTCACTTCCCACAGCCCTTCCCTTAGTCAATTTCAATCCCTGCCTGCCTCAAAGCATTTCACAGCAGGTGTGAGCAGGGTCTACAAAGGTGGGTATTGTGCATACACTGGGGCATCCATGACAAGTCAACTTCTCCTGGTGCTAAACAGAACAATCCATCTGTTCCAACTCTAGAGGAACCACTGGCTGTACTAAACTCACTGGAAACAGAATACTCCTGTGTTTACAGCCTCGGTGCTGACCTTCCGTGTCCGAGGCAGTTCTTCCTCATGATAAACTTTGTTCTCCTCTCAGTGGAGCTCGTTTGTTTCAGTGACCCCTTTGTCCTCCTTACCAGCTTCCAGATAAAAAGGTCCTGGTCACTGTTCTCTGCAGACACCTAGACCAGGCAGTCTGCCAGTGCCAGGCCGGGACGCCCCGGGCTGAGGGGTCCCGACGGCACTCCCCTCACGAGTCTGTCTGAAGGAGGCCCACTGCTGTCTGCCGTGGCTGCAGTTCCTGTACACCAGGCGGGTGAGGGCCCAGGGGCGCCGCACCGTTGGGGATCCAGTGGTACATGTCTGAGGCAGCCATTACCACAGGCTCCTCGGAGGAGGGGACCACGGTCTCTGGGCACCCAGTGTACCTACCATGCCCCTTCCCAGGGCCTTCCCGCCTCCGAGGGTCTGACTGGTCATCTCCCCTGACTCTCACCCTCCCAACTTTGGGCAGATAGGGAAGGGCCTCCAGAACCTGCCCCCATGCCCAGGTCTCTCCCAGGGCCACTCCTCCAAGACAGTGCTGATGACGCCCAGGCCCCGGGGAGGTAAACTGAGACCTCTGACCTTCAGGCCACGCTGGAAGGTGGAGATAGACAGCAGGGCCAGGTCTTGCTGCTCCTCGGCATAGCGCACCAGGTACACGTAGACGAGCTTCTTCACCTGGGGGACAGCAGGCTTCTCAGCAGGGACTGGTGCCCCCACCCCACGAGATGTCATCGCCCCAGCCAGCTGTGGCCCATGGGGACAAATTATTCCAGTGGGGGAGTGTCTGAGGTGTCCCCGGGTCCTTTCCTCTCATCCACATCTAGTTCAGGGACATGCAGACAGGTCTCTTCCTGGACCAGGTACATTTCTGAGCAGGTCAGGCCCAGGGGGTGGACGGTTCCCTTCCTCACCCAGCCAGCTTGAGATCATTCTCAGTGGAGGTGGGCATGAGAGCGCCCCCCGGGGTGCTCACCTCTATGTTCTTACAGGCCACATTCTTCACCACAGCAGGAAACAGGTCCGAGGCATTCTTTCCCCGGGCGATCATCTGGTGGTGGGGTCAAGGAGGAGAGAGGAGGGAGGCGGCCACACTCGTCAGGGTAAGGCCCACTGGGGGCCGAGGAGAGCTGCCCCTGGCCCCCGCCTGCCCAGTCCCTGCTCACCGCCACAATCCTCTTCATGGCCTCCAGCTTGAGGGAGTCCTTGTTGGCATCCAGCATCTCCTTCAGGTCGTCATGCCTGGTGGGAGCAGAAGAGGTCACGGAAGTCACAAGGGTGGGGTGGAGTGTCCATCAGGAGGCTCCAGCAGAAAGCAGGGACATGGGCAGGGCAGGCTCGGGCAGACCCCGACAGAGCGGAGGCAGGGAGGTACAGATCAAGGGCTTGGCACAGAGAAACACGTGGGCCAGCCAATGCTATGGGTTGACTTGTGCCCCCCTCAAAAAATATGAAGGCCTAACTCCTACTCCCCCAGAATGTGATTATTTGGAAATAGAGTTCTTGCAGTTGTAATGAGGATGAGGCCACCTTGGAGTAGGGTGGGTCCCTAATCCAACGTGTTGTGCTCCTAGAAGAAGATGGCCTTGTGAAAAGACAGAGATGCAGGGAGAATGCCATGTCAAGTGGAGGATTGGGGTGATCCATCTACAGGTCAGGGAGCACCAGAAATTACCAGGAAACTGCTGGAAGGTGGGAAAAGGCGAGGAAGGATTCCCCTACAGGTTTCAGGGGGAGCACGGAGGCTTCTAGCCTCCAGAATTGTGAGGCAATGAACTTCTGTTGTTCGAAGCCAGCCAGTGTGTGGTACTCTGTTACCTCAGCCCCGGGAAATAATATAGCTGGGAACATAAAGCCAGGAGACAACAGGAAGGGTTCGGGTAGATGGGTACAGACCCTTCCCAGGAAAAGGCCGGTCGGATGGATGAGGAGAACCTGGAGCCACTGGGAAGGAGGTGGTGCCAAAACAAGAGCAGGACAGCCTCGCCCCACCGAGTGTGTTCCCAGCTCTGGCCCTGCAGACTGAGCTGCTTTCAAGGACTGGGCAGGCCCTAGACACTCCAGGGTCTGTTATGGTGACCTCACAACAAGGGCATACCCGTCACTCAACATTCAACAGCCATCAGGGAAGTTAGAAAACGCTAATGGGAGAAATAAGCAAGGATGTGAATCAACGGCCCCTTGAGGTGACATGTGAGCCACACGGCTGTGGCTCAAGGGGATAAAGGCGGTTCCCTAGCCAACACATAAATTCCATGCAATGTCCACTGAAATTTCAGCAGAGACATTTGGTCAAGTTTTGTGACGTGATGGCAAAATTCAGCTGGAAAAAATAAATCAATAGGAAATAACTCCAAAGACTATTTGGGGGAAAGAAGAGAACAATGACTGAAACAATGGCAGACAAGTCGCCCTATCAGAATTCAAACCAGAGAGCAACAGGACAGTGATAACAGCTCTATGGCACCGGTTAGAAATAGAAAGACAAAGGTTACGGGGGAAATTTCTTAACTGGACCTAAGCTGACACATTAGAAACAAATAGCACCAATGGAAGAAAGAACCTTCTGCCCCTTACTAATAAACACTGTAGTGGGAACTTTCATGCAGCAGACAATTTAACTGTTATGCACGTTATCTCACACCAAAATAAAGTCCCATTTGTTTAATAGTCAAACTAATTTTAAATGTAGGTGAGGAAGGGGAAATCTTTATTTTTAAGGCCATAAAATCCTCAGTAACAAGGTAGCTAGTTTACTTTTTTTTTTTAACTTTGGCACAGAAAACTAAATTTAAGAAAAAAAAATAAGGCAACTATATTCATTTGCTAGGGCTGCCATAAACATGTACAACAGACTGGGTGGGCTGCTTAAACAGCAGGAATTTATTTTCCTGCAATTCTGTAGGCCGGGAGTCTGTGATCAAGAGGGCAGCAAGGTTGTTTCTTAGGAGGCCTCTCTCCTTAGCTTGTAGATGGCTGTTTTTCTGCCTAAATTTTCTCTTCTTCTAAGGACACAGATCATATTGGGCTACTGCCCACCCTTCTAACATCATTCGATCTGAATTACCTCTTCAAATGCCCTACCTCAAAATACAGTCACATTCTGAGTGCTGGGGGGTCAGGACTTCAACATGTGAATTTCAGGGGGACAGAATTCAGCCCAGAACAGCAACGGAAAAAAAAAGATTTGGGATATGGTAAATGAAAGTTTAATATTCAAAATAGGTAGAGTACTGATAAAAATGTAGGGTCCGTATCCAGCACGCACTGTCAGGGCTGCTGCATGCCCGTCAGCCCACTGCTGGCCCCTCCAGGAGACACAGCCCTGAGCTGTTGCTCTCCATACAGAAGATGGAGCACGTTCTTGTATTCCTTGGCCAGGTACCCTTGTGCAGTGAACAACCTGCCCAACTGGACTCAGAGGTCCAGAGACCGTTTGTCAAAGACGTGAACAGAGAATTGCAAATAAACCCAAGGAAAAATGTGTCTATACACAGCTGCTAGAGCTGTGAGGCAACTGACACACTCATATGCCGCCGAGACAATTCCAAAATGTGAGCAGCTGTGTGTGGAGACCTGCACATTCTCTAATCCCCCAGATGATCCTCTGATGACCCACGGATTTTGACCCAGGCATGAGAACCCAGCCTGGAGAGGTATCATCAGGGGTAGAAATTAGAAAGCAATGTGTGCAAAGTTAGTCACAGAAAGAAAATATTTAGAAATTAAATAGAGAGTCAGAAATTAAAGATAGCAATATTAGGAGAAGGAAGAGCATGACAGTAAGTCATAAAGAGGAAAGTGTGACTGCTGCTGATGAAATGAGTAGGTGACCAAGGCTAAGGGGGAGAGAAGAACCCAGCACAGCACACCCCGGTCAGAGGGCCGCACTGGCAGAAGTGCGTGAGTGCTTAACAGAGAAGATCAGAAGAGGCAGAAGTGGGCTCAGAAATCGAGGCTCCCAGGATTTCAGAAAGTGTCTTTTTCCTGAAGCCTTTTTTGATGGAGAGCAAAATAGAAAGATGATGGCTGTCAGATGAGGGCAGAAGATAGCCAGCCCCAGGCATGTCATCTAGAACTCTCCAGCTTGGGAAAATGCCCCCCAAACCAGGGCACATTTTCTAGTCTCCCTGGCCAAGCCCGGGCCAGAAGATGACCATGCTGTCACTCTTCCAAACAAACCAGGCGGCCAGTTTCTAGGGAGACTGAGCTCAGGACAACAAGGACATAGACAGAGGCCCTGGCCATTCAGCTGAGCCTGGGCAGCACTGAGCGTCTGGGAAGGACGACAGAGCTGCGCACCACCTTCCCCAGCGTACAGCCGCACACCTCAGCACGCCCAGGACCCTCCTCACGTACCCCCAGACTCCCCCACCAAGCACCAGGACCACCAAACACACACATGCTTCTCCACCCCCAGACATGGCCATGCCCCCCAGACACACGGCCCCCAGACACATACAATCCATACATAACCCCTACACGCACACATAGACATAAAACCCCTGTAGAAACACACCCACAAACCCCACAGAAACACACACATACAGGCACTTCCCACAAAAACAATCTCCACACACAAACCTGCACGCCTACGGACACATGTACCTCACCTGCACTTCCCCACAGACACCCACACACACAGCCCCACAGACCCCTGCTTGGAGACCTCTCCATACTCCCCCCACAACCTCATCTAGACACGAAAGTCCTCCAAGAAACACATTCTTCACACGTGTCACATACGCGCGCATGTGCACACACGCACATGCACCTTTTAACAAAACTCGGCCACTCGGGTCTCATCTGCTGAAATGGCCAAAGGACAGATTGAGACTTCTAAGATCAAATACATCCCGCCTTGAGGATCCTGTGACCTCAGCCTGAGGGCTGGGTGGGTGTCCTCCCTGGTCACTGGGAGCTGTCGGGGGTTGCCCTGCCCCTAACTCTGGGTGCACTCTGACGCAGACTTCCTCATACCAGCTGTCCTCACCAACCCCCCACATGCCACAGGCCCATGTCAACTGCACACACCCTGGACATGCCGTTCCCGCCCACCTAGTGCATACCCTCCAGGTCCCCGAAGTCCCCAGGGCCCTGGGCTGAGGGGAACTGAGGGAGGGCGGGGCTGGGGGTAGGTGGCAGCCAAAGCCCAGGCAGGGTCAAATGCCCACCACCAGCAGCTCCCTTGGGGTAGGACCAGCCTGGGCCCCTCACCCTGCCTCCAGCCCGTGTGCCCAGGGGGCGAGGATGGCAGAGAGACACTGCAACACTCGTAAGACCACGAAACTTGACTCCCCCGTGGTTGGATCCCCTTACAGGTCAGAGGGCCTGGCCTGAGGGACTGTCCATCCAAGGGGCTGGCTGGAGCCAGCAGTGGGCAAAACGCGGCCTCTGAGGCCAGACATGCTCACCCCACCGATGTGTGCCTTTTTCCCTCCCTCCCCACCAAGCTTCCCTCCACTAGCCAGCACAGGCTGGCCTACTCTGCGCCTTACTCTGCCTCCAGGCCTCACCCGGAGCCCACTCGAGCTGGGACCCGGGCAGCCAGGTTGAGGTGGGACCTCAACCCTCAAATATTTCACTATCTCCCTCCCCTCGGAGCTTCCAGGAGTTAAGCTCATGTGCCCCAACTGCTACTCACAGCTCCTGTCTTGGGCCCCCTGGAGCCCCTGTCCCACTGGGACCCTAAACGCCGGTCCGGGCCGCCCCAGAGGAGGTGGGCCCTGAAGGAGTCGGGGCTGAGGGTGGCAGTGGCCATCCCATGCCTCCCAGGCTGTCCGGGTGAGGGCCCCGGGGGCCCCCCTGTACCGCAGCGGCTGGCTCTGGCCAGATTCTGGGCAGGGTCCTTCCAGGGCCGCCTCTGGGGTTGTATCTTCCTCCGGGGCCTGCAGCCATCGAAGCTCCTCAGGCTGCAGGGCTTGGTACCAGGGCGGGGGCCCACCTTCGGGGGCCAGCACAGGGCTGGCAGCCTCCCGATCAGCCTCACAGGCCCCTCTGGCCCCTGGCCGCACCACGGCCCCCGGGAGCTGCAGGAACCGCTGCATCCGACGCCAGGTCCTGCTCCAAGATGGGGCTGAGCTGGCCAGGGAGCTGGAGATGCTGTCACTGTCACCAGCGGCCCGCCCCTGAGACTCAGAAACCGGACACTGGCAGGGAGGGAGGCCCTGGTTTCCTTTTCACTGCTCAGAGACAAGGACTCGGGATGGGGAGAAGGGCGGGGACTGCACACTAAACCAATGTCCCATCTCCGGCCAGGGGCCTAGGGGTCAGGGGGGCTGATCCAGAGGTGAGAGGTGCCCTCCTCACGTCCACGCTCACGCCGTACCTGGACCCCTGCCTCCCCAGGCCTACTCTTCCTCAGGACTCGTGCACACCCCCTTCCCACTCCGACCCTAGCCCTCGTGACCCCCACCTGTCTTTCCAGAGCCAGGTCCTTGATTCCTTCTCTCCTATCAGCCTCCTCTTATCTCTGCTTCCTCCCTGCCTGGCCCAGGTGCCAGGTGCATCCCTCTAACTGCTCTCAGTCCCGTCCTTGGCCCTCCTGTCCCCACAGCCCGTGCCCTGCCAGGAGCGGTTGGCTCTGTTCCTGTATTTCACATCCCCTCAGCGCTCCTCAAATCCCCATGGGCAGCCTTGCCCTGTTCCTCCAGCTTCACCACTCACTTCTAACAGAAAATGAAACGCCTCGGATAAAACTGCCCGGAGCTCCTGAACACCTGCCTCTGTGGTCTGCTCCCCTCCGGCCCTCCTCGCTCTGGGCAGAGCCGGTCCTCCTGGCAGCCAGGCCAGGCCTCCCACCTGCCACTCAGGGCTCTCTGCCTCCTTCAATTCCTGCAGCCTCTCCCACACTACCGGCTCCTCTCCATCAGCAGTGAAATTTACGCTAGGCTCTCCCATTCTAATAAAATAATAACAATAATGACAAAAATAAAATAAACCTTCTGGAATCAATGTTCTCCTCCAGCAACTCTTTCCCTTTCTCCCCTTCAGAGTTTACCTTCTTGAAAGCAAGATGCCCACTCACTGTGTTTTATTTACTCACTTCCTATTCACTCATTTATTCACTTTAATCTGGCTTTAGATGCTGCTTAGAATGTAGGGCCGAGGGGCTAATGTCTGCAATTTATATGGTTCTGCCAAAACCACTTATGGGTAGATGGTCAGATAAAGCAAATATGGCACAATGCCAACAATGGCTGGATCCCAGGGGAGGGGAAATATGCATTTATTGCAGTATTCACTCAACTCTTCTGTATGTCTAGGACTGTTCCTAAGAGGATGTTGCGTGGAAATAATCTCCCTCCTCTCCTGACTTTGCCACAGCTAGTGTCCCAGGGCAGGAGGGGGGGAGTGGGGCAGGGAGGGGTTCACCTGCTCTTTGTTGAACCCCTGGTCAAGATTCTTCTCCTCTGAATTGACTTCAATGGACACTGACATTGTTGATTGTTTCCTCCTTGAAACCACATTTTCTTTTCCTCCTGCCTTTGGTTTACTTTTTCTCATTCATCTTGAAACTTTCCCCCTGCTCTCTGGCCACCCCTAATCTGTGTCTTGAAGGTTCATATCTGTGCCCTGTTGTGTCCTGTCTGAACACATGTTATACACTCTCCCTGGGTTATATTCACTTCCTCTGTCGCTTTGATATGTGAATGTGCATGCGTGCGTGTATGTTAATCTCTCGTGTGTGTGTGTGTGTGTGTGTGTGTGTGTGTGTGTGTGTGTGTGTGTGTGTTAACAATCTGTCCTGGAATCCAAATCCCAATGTCCAGCTATCTACTAGACTTGAATGACCCTGAGTTTACAATCTCAGCATGTCAAAAGCCAGGCTCAACATTATTTCTGCACGAGTTTGCTTGTAACATCTTTATTTTCAATCACAGTGTATACCAACGTCTCGCCAGTTACAAGGACTGGTAACCTGAGTGTCACCCTTATGTTCTCCTTCCTCTCCCCACCACCATCACATCTGTGGCTTCTGCCTCCTCAATAGCTCAGATCCTCTGCCCCCCATGAGATAGGCCACCATCACACACCCCCTTCTAACACCTCCTCTCTTGTCCCCTGCTCAGTCAGCACACATCAATCCCCTCTCCACCATCCAGCCTGGCACCCTTCTAAAACAGCAAACCCCACATATCACCTGCTTAGAACTTAACAATCTGTCCTGGAATCCAAATCCCAATGTCCAGCTATCTACTAGACTTGAATGACCCTGAGTTTACAATCTCAGCATGTCAAAAGCCAGGCTCAACATTATTTCTGCACGAGTTTGCTTGTAACATCTTTATTTTCAATCACAGTGTATACCAACGTCTCGCCAGTTACAAGGACTGGTAACCTGAGTGTCACCCTTATGTTCTCCTTCCTCTCCCCACCACCATCACATCTGTGGCTTCTGCCTCCTCAATAGCTCAGATCCTCTGCCCCCCATGAGATAGGCCACCATCACACACCCCCTTCTAACACCTCCTCTCTTGTCCCCTGCTCAGTCAGCACACATCAATCCCCTCTCCACCATCCAGCCTGGCACCCTTCTAAAACAGCAAACCCCACATATCACCTGCTTAGAACCCTCCGGTGGACCTCCCCCAAACCTGGCATCTCCGCACCCTCATTTCTGCTCACTCCAGTGGCTTGCACCACGATTCTGGCCACACCTACCAGCACCTACCTACAAAACCTGTGACGGGTTTCCTCGCCTCTCTACAAGCCCCTTCCTCTGCCGGGGCTCCACCCACCCTTCCACCGCCCCCACTACACTGAATGGTCACTGACGGCTCTTCCGCCGCGACCCTCTCTAGAGCAGTTTCAGGACGGGGGCTTGTTCTGTTCACCGCTGCACCCCAGTGCCGAGGACAAGACTCAGCACAGCAGGCCCTTAAAAATGCTTGTTTCAGAATTTAGGAATCAAAGAGTGAGCCGCGGGTGGAGGGGAAGGCCTGGCAGCCACGGCAGGGTCGCCATGCGGGGGCAATGTGGGCAGCAGCAGCCTGATGAGAGCAGGGACCGCAAAGAGGGAAAACGGGTTTGCAGGAGGGGCCCGCCTGCAGATGTGGGGGGCCCGGCCCAGGCGGCCTCCGATCAGGCCCCAGCCCCCAGCTTCCTCCGGCTCCAGCTCGCAGACTCAGACCCCGCTCCCCGTTCTTTCGGGGCACACTCACTGCGCGCGAGAAAGGCGAGGGCCCCGTACCCTCACCCGCAGACAGGAGGACACTTGGCAGGAGGCCTGGGGCATCCGCCCCAACCTGCGCCGCCCCCCCGCGCCCCCGGGGCCCATCCCCTTCAGCCTGCGGCCCCCTTTTCCAGTCCCCGGCGCCCCCACCCCCAGCCTGCGCCTCCCCACGGCCCCCAGTGGCCCTGGGGCCTGGCGCGGGCGGGGAGCGGAGCCTGCGGCCGCGGGGGAGGCTCCCGGGCGGCGGGGCGCTGTCCATGGTGCCGGCGCGGCCGCGGCCGGGCCCCCCGGGCGGGCGCGCTCACCTCTTGTAGTCGGAGGAGAAGATGCCGCCGCTCGCCGGGTCGTGGCCGTACTCGGGCTCCGCGGGGCCGGCGGAGCCGCCCTTGTCTTCGCTGTAGGCGGTCGCGGCCGACATGGGGCCGCGGGAGGGCTGCGCGGCGGCGCGGCCGGGATGCCGGGCGGCGGGGCGCGCGGGCGGGCGGGCGAGGCCGGGCCCGCAGAGGCCGCGGGAGCGGGCGGGAGCGGCGCCGGCGCCCGCGAGGCTGCGGCCGGGGGAGGGCGGGCCCAGCCCGGCCCGCCCACAGCCCTCGGAGGGTCCCTTAAAGGGACTTGACGCGCCCCCGGGCCCGGAGGTGGGCGCGGGCTACGGGCCGACGAGGGGGCCTCTCGGGCGGTGCAGAACGCCTTCCCCAGCCCCGAACACGGGGTCTCGTGGACCGCCCCCAGGAGCTCCGCCCGTCTCGGACGCACGCGCAGGGGAAGGAAGGGGGGACACCGAAGAGAAGGCTGGCCGCGGACTGCTCTCAGCGGGCCAGGAGGCACCGCACAGGGCCACCCGCCTCGGAGACCGAGGACGCCCCCTCTCCCCGCGCTGCCTTGCCTGCAAGCTTTGAGCCCCTCTGACCCTGTCCTGGTTTCTCACCAGGGGGACTTCCTGAAGGTGATGGAATTTAAGGAAAGCTGGCCCAAGGGCGCTAAGGAGCCTACCGCAGGCAGAAAGATGGGGGCAGAAATGAGGGGACAGCTTTGGAAAATAGCTGAATGGCCATTTCTGAAGCCCTCGTGCCCACCCAGGGGGGTTGAGGTGATGCCTTGTCCACAGTCAAGTCCAAGTCCACGGACACCTAGTAAAGAAGTGGAAAGGAAGAGGCTGGGCTGTGGCCTGGTGTGGCCGCCAGGATCCCCGGGCCCCAGAAGGCCTCCAGTTCCGCCCCCCCGAAGCCCCAGGTGGCTGGCCCAGGGGAAGAGGACTGGATCTAGAGGGCAAATGCTGACCTGTCTGGGGAAAGAGGAGGGGTAGTTGGGCCCAAGGTTGGGGCAGGAGGTTGGATGGCAGGGCGCAGAGGGGGACAGTGGGAGGGAACATCGGGCTGAGTCTTGATCTACAGACTGGAATGCCAGTGTGCCCAGAACCAGCCTTGCGGGCCCAGGTGGAAATGGGCAGGCCCAGAACGGTGGGGCTTGGCTTCATAGGCGGGTTCCGTTGGGTGAGTGGGAATGGGTGTCGGGCTGGAGGTTGGTAGGCTGAAGTAAGTAGGTGTGCCTGGGATCTGCGAGCTGGGCAGTGGGCCCAAGAAAGCTTCAGAGGAGCGGCCTCGATGAGTGGGCAGGCCTAGTTTGCTTCTGGGGCCTTAGGTCCGCTAGAGCAAAGCAGAGAGTGAGTCTGAGGGACATGATCTGGGTGGGGAGTGGGGACGGAAACTTGGCAGGAGGGCACAGTGAGCAAAAGTGCATGTTTGAATTCAGCTTTGGAAAATAGTTTAATGGCCATTTTTGAAGCCCTCATGTTTTCACAGGAGTCCAGAAACCTGTGCACCTGTGGCCAAAGGGATTCTTTCCTGCCGGGACTGCGGGATGCGTGCACATCAGAGCCAGGCTTAGGTCCTGTGAAATCAGCCGGGTGATCCCGCACCCCCACCATGCAGGACAGGCAGCCCTGAGCCTTGCACCCTGCGTGTCCAAGCACCTATCCTCAGGGCCCCGTGCCCCCGGCTCAGGGCCTGCAGTCAGCCCCGTGTGGCCAGCCCACTGGTGCTGCAGTGGCCACTTGCCTTGGTAGCCACAGAACACGCCCACATGGCCCCCCGCTAGCGTCCGGGGGTGGGGACCAACAGGAAGAGGTCTCCAGGTCCAGGCTCCCTGCCCGCCAACTCCAAGGCTTCATTGGGGACCCAGGAAGACCCCAGACAGGGCCTTGGGCACAGGCCGGAGGAGATGGCTCCTTCCGCTGGTCCCCCATCCTGCCAGGTGCCGAGAGCTCAGGGAGAGCCGGTTGGAGCTCGGCTCCAGGTGAAGGTCCCCCCTGCCCCACACCTACCTCTGTGCTGACGAACTCCAAGGCCTGGACCTCACGGAATACATCCTCCTCTGAGCCTCCCAGTTTCCAGCAGTAGGGACAACCTCCTCATCCGTCCCAAATCCCAGCCTCTTCATTCTCCTCCCCTCCCACCTCCACAAGAGACTCTCCCAACTGTCACCCATTCTCTGGGGATGTGAAGCTCATCGACGGAGGAAAAATCAGCTGTCAAACCTCCTAGCTGCCAGCGGGTGAGGTTCCAGGCCGTGGTCCCTGCTGCCTCTCTGCCCCAGGCTGTGCACTCAGCAGGGGTTGGGGGACTGAGCATCGATGCTTGGCCGTGCATTTGTTGTGCCTGAGTCTGTGCTGCAATACCAGACGTGGGACTGGGAAACCCAAGTCCTGGTTATGCCAGTTCTTTATATAGGACATCAAATACGCCACTTCCTCCCTCTGGGCCTCAACTTCCTCATCCATGAACTGGGGACAGTACGCTCGGAAGGCTGAACATCAGAGGACCGTTGTGAGGCACTGAGAGCCCTTTGTGAGCTGGACAAGGAGAGACAGGCAGGGCTGGCTTACTTTCCCTCTGCTCCTGAGCAGGCAGAGCTGGGCCACAAGGAGAAAGCGTCCTTCCCAGCTGAGAGAGAACAAGGGGCCCTCAGAGGCTGGCTGCAACCCTGACCGGAGCTCTCAGGGAATCACCCCGCTGGAGAGGCCCTGGGGAGCTGGGCCCCACCCGACTCCCTCTGGACATTCTCCAGAAGGCTGAATTTCCTTCAGCATTTCCTGTGGTATGGATTTGCTAGTGATGAATTCGCTTAGATGAATTCTTTATCTGAAAGCAGCTTTATTTCACCTTCATTCATTCTATTGGATGTAGAGTTCTGTATTAATGATCTTTTTCCTTTCAGCACTTTATAGAGATTTGTCCTCCGTATCGTTTGACTGTGTTTTCAGGTGAGAAGTCAGAGGGCGCTCAGGTCATTGTTCTCAGGTACGTCCTGTGCTGTTTATCTTTGGCTGCTTTCAAGATCTGTTTTCGGCAGTTTGATTATGATATGGGTAAGAGTGGTTTTAGTCATATTTATGTTGCAGTTCCCTGAGATTTTTGAATCTGATACTTTTGGGGTTTTGTTTTGTTTCTGCCAAATGTGAGGATTTTTTTTTTGCCATTATTTCTTCATAACTTTTTCTTTTTCCTCTGCTGAACTCCAATTAATATCCTCACCTTAATGTTGTTTGATTAATCATTTCTTTCCATCTTCTTTTCTCAATCTCTTGACTGAGATGACTCCTGATATTTCTTCAGTTTCAGTCACCCTTTCTTTGGACAACCTCAATTTGCTGTTGAGCTTACACATTGGATTATTTCCGTTCTAGAATTGCTATTTTTTTAAATAATTTTTTCTGTTAAGAGTCCTGTGGGTAAAATTGTAATATTTCCAGAATATCTCGCCTGTTTTTGGTGCATCTGCATATCAACAGGCATTCCTCAGGGGTGGTGAGACATAGTTCATGTCCATGTGGATGGGTAATTACCTGGGCAGCTCAGGGGTTAGCTGAACCTGAGAGGTGAGGGGAGGGCTGGTTTGCTTCTGCCTGAGTAGAGGACAGAGAGACGGCCCCGGACTGCCGTTTGTAAGCAATAAACAGGTTTTAAACTTTATTTCTCCCTTTGACTGATTCTGGTTTTAGAGGTATTTTGTCCAGGGATTTACTCTCCCCAGAGTTACAATTCCCCATCTATGTATTCATCATGACTATCTTTCCCTTAAACTCTTGTAGAAGTTGTTAATAGCTGCTACAAAGCTGTTCTTTTCTCCTCAGCATTTGGTTGGCCTTGATCTTTACTGCCATTATCTGACTTTTCAATTGACATTGAGTTACTTTATTTTGGGGGCATATTTAAGATTTTAAAACTTTCATAATTATCATTGGGAATGAAACATTACAGATTCTGGATTCTTTAATCTTTCCCTGAAGAATGTGGATTTTTGATTAGCAGGCAATTGAATGAACAGCTTGAATTTGACCTTGAACTTGTGGAATCTTGGTTCAGACCTTTGTTGTTCTGAGTCTGCTTAAGTTTCACTGTTACTATTAGAGTGAATTCCTCAGTCCCGGCACCTAGTATTCTAGGCTATGGCCCCCATGGGATTTCAGTGGACAGTCCAAGGCATTTATCAAACCCCCTTTAAGTTTGTAGAAATCAAACAGCAAACTCTGTCTCCCTTGAAGCAGACAGCAGCTGAAATATCTGCCCTTTTCCTGCCTTTGAGCTGTTGCTTTTCACTGGAACCCTTGAAGTATATCACCCAGTGGATGTGCCGTAAGGGGTCATCCGAGGATTTGAGGGGATTTCATATGCAGATTGAATTCTTGCTCTTCAGATGCCTCCTTTCTGGAATATTTCCCCCCGATCTCCAGCTGCTCTGGCAGCCTTGAGCTTTATTCACTGATATCTTTTTTTAAATTTTTTAAACTACTGTTGACCCTTAACACGGATTTGAACTGTGAGGGTCCATTTATGCAGATTTTTTTTCAATAACTATATTGGAAAACTGTTTTAGAAATTTGGGACAATTTGACAAAACTCAGAGATGAACAGTGTAGCCAAGAACTATTGAAAAAAATTAAGAAAAAGTTAGGTATGTCATGAAATATATGTAAATACTAGTCTATTTTATCATTTACTACCATAAAATCAACAGAAGCTATGATAAATTAGGTTTTGGGGGGAGTCAAAAATTATGCAGATTTCTGACTGCCAGGGGGAGTCTGTGCCCTTAACTGGGCAGCATGACTCAAAGCCTCACACAGAAGCTTCATTCCATAATCTTCCATAAAACTAGCACTCAAATGCAGGCCAACCAAGTTCTTGTCATTAGCCACGTTACTGAACCATTTAATTGTTTTGAAGTTTGTCATTTCATTCTCTTCCAGTTTCCAGAAAGAAAAATCACATCATCTGAATGAAAATATTTTCACGTCTTCCTTTCCTAACAATTTTTACTTTGTCTTGTTTCATTGCATTGGTTAAAAAAATCTAGCACCATGTTGAATATTATTAGTTAAAGTAGGTATTCCATTTTTTCCCTGACTTTAATGGGAATGTTTATAATGTTTTACCATTAAGTTTAATGTTCACTATAGATTTCTGGTGCTTTTTCTCAAGTTAGTTTATTCCCATTTCGCTAAGTGTTTTAAATCAAAGGAGATACTGAATTTTTTCAGAGTATTTTATCAGTTGAAATGATCATACTTTTAAACCTCTAAATAATACAGTGACTTACAGCAACAGGTTTTATGTTAAAATCATCTCTGGGATAAACCCTTTTTTTTGTTCCAGATGGAGTACAGGACTCAATTTGCTAATAATTTATTTCAGAGCTGTTGAGTTTGGCCTCTAGTTTTTTTCTTCATGTGCTATCTTTGTCAGGTTTTGGTATTAGTGGGATGCTGTTATAAAATACACTGAACAGCTCTTCTACCCCACCCCAGGGTATAGAACAATTTCCATGACAGAAAAATTGACAAGTGAAAGCTATGTGGCTTGATGGCAGTATTTCAGGAATAAGGGACAGGAGAGCAGAGCAACCAGGATGAAAAAGCACAGGATATGCTCAGAGCATTGGATTTAAGATTCTTAAACTGGAGTAAGTAACACAAAGTAGGTTTGGCTTAAGGCTCTAATTAAATCTTCAAAGCACAACCCTCCTTCAGAAACACTCAAGAACAGCCACCAAACGCTTCAGCTTGCATTCAAGATCCTTCCTGCTTTAATCGAACTTATTTCACATTTTCAACTGCTTCCTTGCCTGTGGTGTTTGCTGTAGGTGTCTATGATGGCACATTCAAATCCTATCCACCTATCAAGAGAACAGCCCAAACGTCTATGAAAATTTCTCAAACCCAATTGAGCTGTTTGCATTCACTTGTACCACCAACTGTTCATTGTCAGCTTTTGGCTGCCCTACTTCTAAAGCTCTTTAAGACAGCTTTGCTGGATTGGAAAGTGTCACCACCACCCCCAAAATTAATGTCCAGAACCTCAGAAAGTCATCTTATCTGCAAAGTGTCATTAAGATGTATCAGTTAAGATCAGGTTATACTGGAGTAGGGTGGACCCTTTATCCAAGACGACTGAAAGAAAGTTCTTTCAGGAGGAGACGCAGAGACGGGCAGAGACGGCGAGCAAGCACCATAGGAGAGCAGAGGCAGAGATCGCAGTGATGCAGCCGCACGCAACGGGAGGCACGGATTGCTGGGCACCACCGGAACCGAGGATTTCCCCTGGTCCCAGGAAGCAGGACCCTGCTGCCACCTTCACTTCCAATTTCTGGCCCCCAAAGCTGTGAGAGAATAAATGTTATCAACCTAATGTTATAACCCAAATTATATGGGTTTTGAATGGTCGTTCCTTATGGCAGCCCTAGGAAACTAAGACAACGGCAACGTTAATTCCTGATTTATCTTCCTAGCTCCACCAGTGCACGTCCGCAGCGCGGGCCCGGCCCTGGCGGACTTCCGAGCGCCTGCGGGGGTGCGGGGGGGACGGCGTAGAGACGACGCTCGACGAGCGGCGGGCGGGACAGCCAGACACGGGGCCACAGACCCCGAGGGGAGGCAGACCGCGGCAACACGGGAAAGGCGAAGCGAGAGACGAGGGCAGCGGGGGAAAGCGCCTCGATTCCCCGGACGGCGCCCGCGGCCGAAGGAGGGCGTGTGAGGAGACGGGAGTCACCGCGCCCCTCTCCCAGGCCCCGCCGGTCGGTCCGCGGCCTCCCCGGCTCCCGGCGGCCCTGACCCCCGCTACCAAGACGCCGCGTGCTGAGAATCCCCGGCCCCCGTCGCCACACCCTACTGAGTCTGCGCGGCGAGCCTCCACACATCCATCCGGGTCGCGGGGGGGACTTCCTCCCGCGGCCCGGAAGCCGGCAGGGCTCTTCCGCCGGAAGGAGGAAGGGGTCGCGACCAGGCCGGCGGCGCGGGGCTGCCTTCACTTGTGGCGTGGGAGGCGGGCACCGGGCCCTGGCGGGTGGGTGATGGCGGCGTCCTGTGCCGTCTGGCTGCCGTGTCGGGCTCCGAGGGTGCGGCGGGGGCCGGCGGAGAGGGGAGGGCCCGCCGTCCTGACGCGCCGTGCTCAGCTTTCTCGACCTCGCGGGGCTGTGGCGGGGCCAGATGTGGAGGGAGACGTGCCCACCCGGGATCGTGTGAGCTGCGAGCTGCGGGCTGCACGTCCTCCGGAGACTAAGAAAACAGGGTCCTTGAAGTCAAGCTGACTCTGCTTTTAGCCTCCTAAATGAAAAGGTAGATAGAACAGGTCTTGTTTGCAAAGAAAATTCAAGACCTACTTATCTACCAACATCAATCGTATTTTCTGTTGTCTTACTACAGAAAACAGGAATCGTTCATTTAGAAGAGAAAGGGTGGAGAAAGACGTAGTGAACCGACGAGAATCTTACTGTACTAATTGATAGGAAGGTGACTAGAAGTTGAAGTTGTTGAGGAAGGTGGAGGGGAGGACCTTTCCTGTAGCGCGGTCTTAGGACCAGCAAGTTTCCTGGTAGCCAGACCTCACTGGGTGGGCACATCATCTCATATACAGAATGCTTTGTGGTGAATTGTGCTGGGGGCATTGCCAGTGTGTGAGCCGTAAGGTTATGATTTTAACAACTTTTGGAAGATGGGAGGTATTAAGAAAAAGGCCTCCTTGCCCGTGTCGTTGGCGTGCTTTACACTGATGGCCAAGGATGTGTTTCAGAAATAACTTTATTGGGCCTGTATAGATGATTGCATATCGTTTGAACCAGCAGCAAGTCAGTTACTAAACATACGCTTTTCCATATTAAAGGCAATTTAATTTTACCCGAAACCAATGTCCTTGTATATCCCAAGTCCCTAAGCCAAACCCATCTAATGTAGGTGCCTAAATTCTGAATTACTAAAGCCATGTTAGTTTACACAAGCATCTGTGGTGGTTTTATGTATTCTTGTTCCCCTCTGCTGAGGGAGGCCAACCTTATATTAATAACTTGCTCAAGAATTATGACATGTTACAGGTAAAGCTAAGAAAAGAATAGATTTCCACATCTTCTGTTTTAACTGCCCAGTGTCAGAGAATGTGGCTACAATGGTCTGACTTTTAAAGAAAATTTTTGTTTTGTTTTTTAACAGATTTGATTTATCAGCAGGCAGCAGGTGAACATGGCCTCAAGGTAAATCCTGCACCTTTTTAAAATTTAGTTTTAGCAGATGGTATTTTAAGAATTGGGAAATTTTACAAAAAAACACAAGTTTTGTATGATTCTGTTCTAGACTTATTTTTGTTTCTGTAGAAGATTAGGACATGTTTAAGCCAAAGCTCTCATGTTGAATAATTGTGATGCTTAAAGTTGGTCATCTGCCTTATTTAAATTCAGTGGATTTTAACTGTTAAAGCCAATTCTAGATGGCTTTTTCTTGGTCAAGTAAAGTTTTATTAAAACCTTGTAGGTGTCGAGTTTTTTTCCACATTCATATCTCCTGAATTCAAAAATACCTTATCTGTGATTTCCTACTTGGTAGTTTCAGTAGCTAAGAACATTTAAATTGTTTATAACCTGAAACATTTATGTGTTTACATCAGCTGTACTATCCTTATTCAGGGTAGGATCTGGTGTGGCAGGGCAGGCATGCATGAGTGCATGTGTGAAACGAGCTGTAAGATGTTGTGCGAGCTGCTGCTGCAGGAATCTGAGCTATTTATACAAATAGGCAGTTTTGAGACAGGTGAGATGAGAGGTGTTCATTGTCAGACTGCTGGAAAACATGAAAGTTTTAAAGTGAAAGATTTTTCAGTTAAGTGATGAGAGGCATTTCTGGTTAGGCATCTGTGGGCCACAATACCAAATTGCCTGAGAATTGCTTCACAAGTGGGGTCACTTACTCCACATCTCATAAGCTTGGAAATGCCACATGTGCAGAGTTTCAAGTGGCAACTAGAAATGTGAACTTGGAGAACCAGGAATGCAGCCACTGGGGCTGCACACTGAGGTCACAGGTTGGCCCAGCAGGGAGGCAGGATGCCCAGAGCCGCTGGCGGGGACCTCCTCTCCTGGCAGTACTGTGCTTTGGGCTCTGGTGGGCTGATGTTTTAAGAAACTGCATTTGCTGCATGTCATACTGTTCTGCACACTCATGTTTGCTGCTACATCTTCTAATACTATGAGACAAGTATTATCTATGTCTTTGTTTAAAGGGAAATGGAAGTTTGCGAGTTAAGTTACTTTTCTAGGGCTGCAAGGCAAAGTAGCTACAAAGTAGCAGTCAAACCTCTCTTTTGATTTCAAGTCTGGTTTCCTTACATGCCAGGACAGTTCCTAGAATCAGTTGGAACTGATGTTTTCTGTTTTTTTCCTGACCTGCCTACCTCCCTGGCCCTCCCCTGTTCACATGGAGTGAAAGCACCGCACGTGTGTGTAGGCTGCTGTGTGACTGAGGAAGTGTGTGGCAGTGTCCCACTTTTCCCAGTCGTGTATCAAGCCACGGGTGCCCTTCTGTCCCTTGATGCACCTCCCCTCCAGGTTTTCTCCATCCCCTGGCTATAGGTCCTCTGCTACAGTTTTGAAAGCCCTGCCATCCCTCACGTGGAGAGCAGGGAGAGGCTGAAGAGCAGTCGCTGGATGAAAACAGTCATTTATTCAACAAAGATTTGGTGTGCACCTGTTACGTGTTAGTCCGTGGGAACTGAGGAGCAAGACAGACGGTGTCCCTGCTTCGTGGAATTCAGCATTATAGAGGCCATTTCAAAGCAGGAGCAGGGTAAGGGCCATAAAGGAGAGGACAAGTGTCACCGAGCGCACAGTGGGAGATGCTGTGTCACAGTGCCCCTCTCGGCTGACTCATGAAACGTGAGCACGCTGGGCGGCTGGAGCCAGTGACACCCGTGTGTCTTCCCCTCCCTTTCTCTCCTGCAAGCTCTGTAGGCCTTAGAGACGCAGGTACTGCACATACACACAAACAGACCAACACAGTTTGACGGCTTGGAAGACCTTTTGAGTTCACTGGGTCTGAGCCCTCATTTTGAAGCCCAGCCTGGCCATGACTGACCTAGTGTCACACAGGTGGCAGGGCACAGGACAGGGTGCAGGTCAGGCGAGGTGAGTGTCCACACACCAGTCTCCCAGGTAACTGCAGGAGCCATAAATTGTGCTGGGTGCATGGTGCTTGAATGCCAGCTGAGGCGTGAGTGGCTGAGGGGGTACAGAAGGGGGAAGCGGCCGTTTGAATAGGATGGTCTAATAGAAAGTGACGTGCTTTGGCATTGGAATGCCATTATGTATCTTTAGGCTCCCAGGCTTTTCCAAAGAAAAACAGGGATGCACAAATTGGTGAAGCTGACAACTGAATGTGTATAGATGCTGAGAAATGTCCACATTGAAAAATGACAGTTTTGAACTTTCATAGTCTAATAGAATGCCAATCTTCCTTGGGGAAACAGTTATTCTTAGATCTGGAGCCATCTTGTTGTGCAGGAATTCATACTTATGCCTGAAATTTAAATGTTGATACAACAAAGCTTCAGAAATTCTGTAGATGGCTATTTATACAACATTTTGTATTTTCCTATGATTGTGTTACTTTCTTTTATTAAAAGACTACCAAGTAACAGGCCATCTCCAAAACTATTTTCTAAAATTTGTCTTCAGAGACGTTTTAAACCCCTTTTCTTTTTGCACAACGTCTTAACCTAACAAAATTACATATAGTATCATAAACTTACAGTGCATCAAAATTTGTATAGAAACAGAACATGTTCTAAAAATGTGGAGTTCAAGGTCAAGATGTGTAACTCCTTTATGATAAAGGCATTTGAAACGGGGAGCCTCGTGATCTGCAATGTGACAAAATGGGCCTTTGGGTATGACCTGGGTGCAAGTACTCACGAGGAAGCCAATTTCTAGACCGCAGACCTGAGGCCTGTGCCCACTGAGTGCTGCAAAGCTCCAGCAGCCTTTCGCCCTGCTTAGTATCCTGTGTGTTTGGAAAAACGGTTGGGACCAAAACCAGCCCCAGGCGTTGCCTAACCCTGCTACCAACAGATGTTTGAAGGGCCCACACGACTGGGATGAACACGGTGTACAATCTAAATAGTCAGAGCGTCCATCTGTCTCCACCCCATCTCACCTTATCTTCCCCTCAGCTTTTGTTCTTTACGCAACCATCAGAAGCTAAACGAGCCCTTCGTGCTACCTTACCTCTCACCACTGATTGGCTGAGATGCATACGCGTCAGCTAGGATGCGTCACCCTCAGCCTCCATAGTCACTGTCTGTCACTGTCTCATAATAACTTTCCAGATGGGACTGTAAGAAACTAACGCTGTAGGTCCAGCACTCGGCTGTCTGCCCTTCCTTCTCATTCTCTCTCATTCCCACCTGTCTTCTGACCTCGGCCCTTCCTGTTACGCAGACTCCTTCTCTTCCCTAATGCTTCCCCAGTTTTTCCCTGCCCCTTGTTCTTACCGTTGTAGGAGAGGAGACTGCTTTTTAGTTTTATTTCAGGTATAATGTCTAGATAAAGTATTTGGCTCAGAGCATGGTATTTCTTGCATTCCCCAAGCTGGGTCTGAGGTTTAGTAAAGTCCACTCTAGCCTAAATATCTTATAAGGAGGAAGTTGGTCTTCCTACTTAACACTTGGGCAGGACAAATAATGTTCAACCACAATGGAGGCTTATGGTCATAAAACACCGGATGAAACATTAATGGGATTCAGCAGGCCAACAAGGGTCAGAGGCCCCACAGTGCAAGGGGTGCTGGGAAAGTGGTGTGGTAAATGTGTTTTTGCAATTACTGAGATGAAGGGAGGTTGCAGCCATGGCCTCCTCTGAGTCTGAAGGTGTCACTGTCCTGGGCTTCATGGCATTTCCCCAGCTTTCTGGATCTACTTCACATGTAGAGGACAGAGTACTTAGCAGCAGAAGCAATTGGAATTAGCCGTGACTATTAAGCCTCTGCCCACATTTACTTAAAAAGATGGATTGGGGCTTCAAGTCAAACTGTGTCCATTTAATAACACTGAAGTTGAGTGTAAATGAAAACCAATCGCTTACAGTTAAGAATGTCATCTCTGGAGCCAGACTGCCTGGGTTCCAGTCCCAGCTCTGAATTCGGGTTGGATGGATTCCCTAACTGCTGTGAGGCATAGTTTTCTTCTTTTTAAAAATGGGGTAATACATTTGTGAGAAATAGACAATGTGAAATAGCACACAGAATAGGAAAGGGGCTGTAATCAAGGCCTGAAACTTTTCAGAATATTTTATAAAACACACCGTAGGCCTTGATTACTGCGAGCGAGAACCTCGTCCTGCTCCTTCAGAAGCAAATTTCAATCTTGGGATCCAGATTGCACTTTACCTTGACGAGGCAAACGTGTGCCTCATGCACCAGGACAGGCAGTTTGCTCCCAGGTCCTCCTGTTTAGGGACATCTTCAGAGGCCACCCCCACTGTGTAGTCCAAACACGCGTCCACCTCCACTTCCCAGTAGTGGCGCCCTTGGACTGGGATTAGATTCCCCATGACAGCAACACACCTGGATTTAGAAAGTGGAAGCTGTGTGATTTGGGGTGAGCTGAGCCCGGCTGTGTGGGTGGGTGCGCTCACTGTCAGTCACTAGGTGGCCTCAGATGAGGCGGCAGGTGTTCCGAGCGGCACCCCCCCAGCTCCCAGCTCAGGCCCATGATGGCCCAGGAGGGGCAGATGGATAGAAAAGGCCCTGATAGCTTTCTTTTAAACATGATTGAGCTTTTTAGTTAAAAAAAATCTAAGAGGTTTGATTCCCTTGTTCATAAAAAAGAAAGGAACCGAGACTGCACAGAACTCAGCGTAGTCAAGGGAACCATGCCATGCTGGCTTCCGTCAGCACGCCAGCCCGGGGGACCTCCGAGGTGACATGGGGGCAGAGGGGACTGCAGGCGGAAGGCGAGCTCCGACTTCGAGGCCGACCCACGAAGAGCAAGACAGCAAATTCCTCACAAATGATCAAAACCTACTTCTGAGTTTCCACTGGGAACAACTGTACAGACAACGGTCAGAGTTGTGCCGTGTCTGCGACAGTAAAGCCCCTGCAGAGGAGGGTTTTCCGGGGACATGGCATCAGTGTCTCCGCGGCAAATATTCTGCCTACCGCAGGAACCTCCTCCACTCTCCGAACTCCATGTAGCTTCCAAGCTCGCCAGGCAGAGTTACTCAGCTGCTGTGGACACCTTATCTTCGCTCCCCAAACCCCAAGTTCTGGAAGCCCAAGCAAAGCTTTGGGCAGGAAATGGCACGCAGCTAACCCTGCTCTCCATGAAATGCCATCTCCACTCCAAGCTCCAGACTCAACGTTTCCACCACCTTTTTCCAGTTCACCATGTCCCAAACTGCCGTGATGGCACCCCTGCCCCCTTGCCTACCGAAGGTTGTGTTTGGCTGTGGTGGGGAGGGGTGTGTGCCCCTCATGTGTT